GATCTTACAAAGCTTCAAACGACGCGTCGACTATTAAATCAGTCGTCGACGATTTTGATAGTCGACGTAATCGTGACTAGTCGACTAATGGTGGCAGCCCTATAGGCAACACAATGTTTTTTCAAATGATCCTTCACCGCATGTGTCCTACGGCAGATTAAAACTCAGTACTTTAGAATTTCTATTCCAAAATGTGTATTCTCATGTACTAATATTATTTTATTATCATATTAATGTAGCACAAGGTTCAGGTACCTTTGTGTAAAACCAGTTTTCAACAAGCTACTTTTTACTTCCTTTGAGTACATTTCAGAGCCTGTTCTTTCTCAGTTTTACTTGAGTAACAAAGTTGCTTCAGTACTTTTATTGGAGTATTTTTCAACACAGGCATCTGTACTTGTACTTAAGAAAAGAAGTCTGTACTTTTGCCACCTCTGCTTAAAAGTAATCAGATACCCAGCTGGAAAAATACACACAGGAGGAGACAGATCCCACAGTGAGGTACCAAGAACGACTCACTGAGGTCTCCACTGAAGTCCAGCATCCTGAGATCTGCTATGGAGGACGAGGATTAGTGAGTGTCAGAAACACAATTCAGCATTAAGCTCAGAACATCTATAAATAAAACAGGAAAATGGCCCCAGAGATGAGCTGCTTCCTTGTGCAGCTGAAGACAGATGGTGAGGAAGTATCCCAGACCAGCCCCTACATTGGATTTACCATCGACACATGGAGGAAGTGGCTGACATCAAGAAATCCAGTTTTGTGGTACAGTGGTCCCTCGTCTATCGCAGGAGTTACGTTAGCCAACTTTATTTTTTACAATTATTACAGATGTTTTAAGGCTGTAAAACCCCTCAATACACACTTTATACACTTTTCTCAGACAGGCATGAAGATTTTCACACTTTTCATTCTTTTGTTTAAACTCTCAAAGTTCAAACCTTCGTAGAAGTTCAGTATTACAGAAGGAAACCAAAGGAACCCGCAAGTGACGACGTCTCGTCGACATTGTTGTGTTTGTCGGGGAGAAAACTTACAAACATACAGTGCAGCACTCTCACACAGCTAGCGATGGAAGATTTATGTCAATGTGACAAGCTGAACGCATCCTGTACTGTACAGGAGACACGGCATGAGATTTATTGACAATGGTCTACAGCCAATCAGGATGCAGAACACAATGCGCTGTAAAAAAAAAAAAAAAGGTGAACCGTGTTATAGCGAGGGGCCACTGTAATCATACTGTAATCAAACCTCACACTAAGAAAATAATCAGCTTTTCCTACATGATAAAAATGAGATCTTAGGCCTGAGGAATATTTGGAAGTTTCTTTTCAACCAGAAATCTGTTATTTGAAGTTAATTGTCAGATTGAGCTCTCAGTGGTTCTGTGACATGTTTTAAAGATTTCTCTTTTCACCCCAAAGTCCACTAAAACAGAAGAAACTTTGTTTACAGTGGTAGCTACAAACATACGCTGCTGACTATGTCTTTTTCAGCGTTAATTTGGATTCTGAGCTGTGGAGCTCTGCGTGTCTACTGGGAATCTATGGATGGAAGTTAGATTCATGTCCAGCGCTCCACATCAAGCTGCAGCGTGGAAACCACAACACAGAGTTACAGAGCGGGGTCACTGAGCGCAGAGTTTACTGCACACTGTGGACCCTGCAGAGTTTTCAGTTGTTACTTTTTTTTAAGTTTTACTTTTTAGTTTTCAAAAACAGAAATAAAAAAGGATCATTATGGATGTTGCCAAAATATGTGCAGCAAGGTAGGCAGAGAGTACATAACAGAAAAAATAAGTAATTTGAGAATATTTTTTTAACCCTACAGAGTAAAGCTCTTTAAACTGTTGTGGTATCTGAAATTTATAAATATCAATTTATGTAACCAGAGTCTCTAAGTTAATAATATGGAAAAAATCAAATCATAGCTCTAATGCTGAAAAGACTATCTCTGTGCATGTATGTTCGAACATGCATCTACTTCTGTGTTTTAATAGCTGCTATCTATTCCTTTAGGCCCAACAGGAGACCCAGAAGGCAGCTCTGAGATATGAGAGGGCTGTGTCCATGCACACTGCTGCCAGAGAGATGGTGTACGTGGCAGAGCAAGGCCTTTTGGCTGACAAGAACACCATGGACCCAACCTGGCAGGAGATGCTTAACCATGCCACCGCCAAGGTACACACTGCTGCCTCTTGCTGATGGTAGTGTTGGGTGGCAGAGCAGGTCAGCCACTAATCAGAAGGTCAGTGGTTCGATCCCAGGCTGCCTCCTGGCTGCATGCCAAATGTCCTTGGGCAAGACACTTCACCCGTTGCCTACTGGTGGTGGTCAGAGGGCCCGGTGGCGCCAGTGTCCGGCAGCCTCCCCTCTGTCAGTGCGCCCCAGGGTGGCTGTGGCTACAATGTAGCTTGCCATCACCAGTGTGTGAATGTGTGTGTGAATGGGTGGATGACTGGATGTGTAAAGCGCTTTGGGGTCCATAGGGACTAGAAAAGCGCTATACAAATGCAGGCCATTTACCGTGTTGTTCTGCTGTTTATACAATTAAAATCAGTGCGCTATAAATAATTCTTTCTGAACTAAAGGTCAACAAAAATAAATCTCCAATACAGGACCCTTCCCAAGGGACTAGAAACCGTACTACATCACTACATTACTACATCACTACATTATTACATCACTACAGACCAAAACAGCAGTTCAGGGAGCTGAAACTGTGGCTGCATCACTATTTCCACTTATATGAAAAAGTTCAGGTGGTTGTTTGTCTGTTCTTCTTCATAACAAACAAATACACAATCATTAATGGTTACAAATATATCTGTGCTTTGTCTTATTTCCGATTAAATAAAATTGAATGACATATTTTAGTGACTGACGCTGGGGACTGTGTTGTTCTTGTGCTTTTAGATCTGACAGCTGCGTTTGATACCGTGGATTATGCCATTTTATTCTCTCGTTTGGAGCCCTGGGTGGGCATTAGGGGCACAGCACTGGTTCAGGTCCTACTTGGCGGGGCGAACTTTTTGTGTCAGCCCCGCTGACTATGTGTCGTCCTCCCCTCTTGTGTGGTGTCCCACAGGGCTCAGTTCTAGGCCCCCTCCTCTTCTCTTTATATCTGGTTACTCTTGGTTCTGTACTGAGAAAGCACGGCATTCCTTTCCACTTTTATGCTGATGACTGTCAGATCTATGTCCCTCTAAAGAAAAAAGGCAGATACCTTACACAGCCATTACTTCAGTGTCTCGATGACATTAAGGCTTGGATGTCTGTTAACTTTTTAAAATTCAATGATAAAAAGACAGAGGTGATGGTTTTTGGTAGCCCCACTGAGACCCCCCATGTGTATGTAGATTCCCTGGCCCAGTATGTTAAGCCAACTGTCACAAACCTGGGGGTCAAAGTGTGATCTGAAGTTTGATAATCAAATTAAGGCAGTGGTAAAATCTTCTTTCAGCTCAGGCAGCTGCAAAAATAAAGCCAATTCTTTCACTTTGAGACAGTGATCCACGCCTTTGTTAGCACTCGGCTGCATTACTGTAATGCACTTTATATTGGGGTCAGCACATCATACATTACTCGTCTACAGAGGAGCCAAAATGCCGCAGCTCGTCTTTTAACTGGCACTCGAAAGTTTGAGCACATTTCCCCTGTTTTAGCTTCAC